TGACAATGACCCAAAACACACGGCCAAGGCAACAAAGGAGTGGCTCAAGAAGAAGCACATTAAGGTTCTGGAGTGGCCTAGCCAGTCCAAACCTTAATCCCATAGAAAATCTGTGGAGGGAGCTGAAGGTTCGAGTTGCCAAACGTCAGCCTCGAAACCTTAATGACTTGGAGAAGATCTGCAAAGAGGAGTGGGACAAAATCCCTCCTGAGATGTGTGCAAACCTGGTAGCCAACTACAAAAAAACGTCTGACCTCTGCGATTGCCAACAAGGGTTTTGCCACCAAGTACTAAGTCATGTTTTGCAGAGGGGTAAAATACTTATTTACCTCCTTAAAATGCAAATCAATTTATAACATTTTTTACATGCGTTTTTATGGATTTTTTTGTTATTGTCTCTCACTGTTCAAATTAACCTACCATTAAAATTATAGACTGATCATTTCTTTGTCAGTGGGCAAACGCACAAAATCAGCAGGGGATCAAATACTTTTTTTCCCTCACTGTAGCTCTTTTTTTAGAAGTCACGCTGACACAAATGATGACTGTGGTTGTGTTTGCCTTTTATTTTGTCTGTCTATGTCTGATTTCAATGAAAAACAACCGTAATTCCCCAGATTATAAGAAACTCCCGAAAAATACGACATACACCAAACTTGTTCAGTATCAATAAAGTTATACCAGTCTGATTACACATAAACCCACACAGCTAGCTCCCAGATTATAAGACTTCTGTTCTAAACGTGTCCATAAAGAGTGCATCTTATAGTCCGGAAAACACAGCACCTGTACAGCCCTTTTGTCAATCCACGGCTAGATGAGGGCCTCCCCATGCCATGTGGGTCGTGGGCATGGATAGATGCTGGACATCTGTGAAAAACAGTTTCATAGCTCATCGGATTCCTCCAGTCTGAATACATTCTGATTCAGCGTACCATCGGGCCCCATGCATGACTCAGTCACCCAGGATGCACCCCGATCTCGCCAGATCTCGAAGTCAAGCAGGCCCGAGCCTGGCTCTAACAGCATGTGGACGGGGGAAAGGAGGGGCGGCCACCGTACGTGGTGCCGGCTCAACGCCCACGACGCGATGTCCGGAAAACCGCGCCGGCAATTGAGCCGGCAACCGAGCTGGCAATCGAGCCGTTCTGGTTTGGCTTTGCGGTAGCGAGCGCACGCCGCACTCTTGCAGGGACCGACACCAACTGTGCTCTTATCGTCAGGGTCAAACTGACCCTGACGTAGTTCCACCCAGGACAAAACCTGTATTTGTTTGTGCCGAAAATACATTTGGCGGCACCTAACTGCCCACACGCAACGGCGGAGCTGGAGTTTTGCGCCCTTCGTTTTTGAAGTCTAGTTTTATTTTAAGTTCATCCTTACGTGTTATCCGTGTGACCAAAGCCCTGATGAGACCAGTCGGTCACCTCTTAAGGTCAACCCGTGGAATGCACCCGCATGCAAGCCTTGCACGCACGCAGCCAGATTATTAACACAGGTTCCCCACGCTCTATGCGGGTTCGGTTTATGCGATTTTGCGCTGTACACGCGGCTCAACCAGTCCCCACCCAAAAATTCGCCACATCGTGTGGTTTAAATTCACTCCACATGCGGCTATGCGGTCGCACGTGGGACAGAGTGCCGGATGATCCTAGTAGCAACGTAGCTACATATGCTACGGGCCCCGCACTTTCAAGGGTCCCGTGCTAAATGCTTTCAAGCTATCAATTCCGGTTCAGTGATTCTGCACTTGCTCTATTACTATAGTACTATACTTCCTTCAACTTTTACGACTGGGTGTTTAAGGTTAGCGATTTTTCGTATTATCTGGCTGTATAGCAAATGAAAAAATAAAATTACTTTACTATGCAAGTTAAAAATTTGTGCTTTAATCTTTTTTTTTTAGGGCCCCTTCATAACATATGCTGCAGGCCCCGCACTAGCTTAGTCCGGCACTGGTGGGACAGCATTGTGTCCTGTGTGTGGTGTGTGTGCTACTCAGCAGGCAGCCGTCTCCTCGTGCAGTGCATTGTGGGTTGGGTGACTGTGCGCTACGCGGTTTCTCTGTGCGCGCCCTTTTTTTGGAACGCATCTACTACTGCTGCTACTGCCGCGTAAAGCGAGTGAGACCTGTATGCTGTCGAATGAGGAGCTCCCCATCATGCCGTATTGGTTATTTGGCCATACTTCACCGCACTGGTCAGTGAAGCAGGCGGGGAGCTGGAGTACGAAACAAGGGTGGATTTTGCTGCACTGCCCACGACTGCCCACAAATGTCGACCCCACCAGTTAATTTCTGCGTGGGGGGTCACCCATCCCCAAGCGCTAGTTATGCTCAACAGCTGCTTTAGCTTCCGAGATTCGGTTAGGTCAGGCAAGTACATCACTGACTTTTTCAGGGTCTTGGAAAATCTATGTAATGTGTCTGGTTATACAAACCACATACAGCTTGCATTCGTCCAGCGGTAGATCGATTAGGACGTTTTATTATTGCGATAGCAATCACGCTCTGGGAATTTTGTCCAATGTGGCATTTGTAATTGTATTCAACGGATTATGCAATGAAATGTTCCCCCTGTACAGATTATAGGCAAAGTTTTGGGTGCGTCTTATAATGCGGCAGGCACGTGTAGGCTTTCGCGACCAACAGTGTTCATAATAAAGGCTTTTGGGTTAGATCGCGTAAGCATGTGTCGTAACCGTCCACCACCCGACACAACCATTAAGGGATTTGTCACGTGAACAAAACGCGTCAATTAGTTACTGCCTTGGCCCACCGGTGTGTTGGAGAGTAAATCCACGTGCTAATTACATCCAGCGACATCGGGCGATTTTCCAGAGACGTGTGGAAGTCTGTACACGTGCGTGTGCAACCAAAGTTGTGTGAACACGTTTGGGCGCGTCTTACTTTCCAGATATTCTTATAAAACTGGGGTGATGCGGTACTTGCGGTGTGGAATTCGTGAACACTGGGTTGGGTCCTGTGCATGACAAGCCAGGTCTCGTGCAGTCACGGTGACATGGCCAGAATCCCCGCCTCCTATACCGGTGCCACGGGGCCCCCAGACGGTATGGGTTTAGCGTTGCCCGTCTCACCGCGTGTGTCCGAGTGGGGTGCGTCGATGTAGAGGTTAGCGCGCTGCGCTACGAACCCCGGCGACTCGAGTTCCAATTCCTGCTCAACGCCCCCCTAGGTGGACTCAGCCTCAAATGAGTATGTGGTGCGGTGAGTAGTAAACATCGCCACTGGGGGGGGGGGCAGATAGAGACGGACGGCCGTGGTGCTGGCCACCCACCCCGGCCTTCATAGGTGCTCGCTAACAACAGCACTTGCCAACCAAAACATCTGCTTAGGCTATACGGGGGGATCTTTGTCTGAACACACGTGGCAGCCGCGCGCATATTAATTAGTGCACGTGTACAAACTCGCAATACATAACGCGCAGCGACGTGGAACCTTCACCCACCGCTGGATGAAGGCCCTCCCACGCCACCCGTGTCACCATACCTCGCCACACTGGTGGGGTAACACGACCTCGCGGGACATCGCTGCTGGTGCCAGCCGCGGGGGTAGCGAATGGAACTCGCGCGGGTTCAGATCGCCGGGTTCAAAACGGAGTGCGCCCACCGCTGCGCCACCGCTCCCCCATCTACCGCAGTCCGATGATGTCCGTGCGGTCGTAGAACAACGAAGAGGTCGCTGGGCACACGGCCTCCTCGTCGTCGCTGCGAGCTGACGCGCGCGCCTCGGGGCGCCACGTCGCACGGACGCACTGTATAAACACGTGTGTAAGTATACAGTGCAAGCGTGGGGAGCGCGAAAAAGGCCGGCGACCCGGGTTCGACTCACCGCTCACGGCCAACACCCAGTGACGATTATCTGAATCGGTTTCGGGCCTCCCCATAGGTCGACTCAGCCTCGAATGAGTAACCTGGTGCGGTGTGTGAAACATCGCCACTGGGGAGACAAAGGCGGTCGGGCGTGGTGCTGGCCACTCACCCTTCTCGTGTGCCGTTACCGACATTCATAGGTGCTCGCTAACAGCACTTGCCCCTACAGTCTGTTAAGGCTATACTGGGGGGGTGGTTCATTGTCTTTTGTGCGGACCGTATTCTCCGGATTATAAGACGCTCTGGATTATAAGACGCTCTGGATTATAAGACGCTCCGGAAATAAGCCACAGCCCCCCCCCCCCCCAACGTGGAAGGGGGGGGGGTAACACGCGTCTTATAATCCGAAGGCTACGATGTCTATGATTTGTGTGTTGTTTTTTTTTTTAAAACGTGCCTGTGCGCGATCGTTGAGAAATAAAGTGGAACAACAAAAGACTTGAAAAGCGTGCAACGAAATTGGCAAAACGCACGCTCGGAGTGAGTTTAGGAGTGCGAGACGAGCACGTGGATTAGAGAATATGGAGTGATGAGTTTAGGAGAGACGCGCACGTTGATTAGAGAACATGGAGTGATGAGTTTAGGAGAGACGCGCACGTTGATTAGAGAACATGGAGTGAGTTTAGGAGAGACGCGCACGTGGATTAGAGAACATGGAGTGATGAGTTTAGGAGTGAGAGACGAGCACGTGGATTAGAGAACATCGATCGGGTCCGTGTCATCGTCCGAACTCTCGATTAGCACGGGCTGGCTACGTACGGTGCGAAAGAAGTTCCGCATACGTCCGAGATTGGCTTGTGCGGAACAACATCGCCGGAACTGGGAGGGGGTCGAGGATTGATGGCATTCGGTTGAAGAAGAACACGAACGATAGTGACGGCCTGAGAAGGACGTCCAAAAACCCCGAGGAGATGGAGCGAGCGACTAACTCAGCTCTCGGTGGGTTAACATCGCAAGGGTCATCGTGCGAGGTGACGGTGGCCCTTCATCCAACAGTGGATTGACCATGGCAGTTTGATGATGATGATGGTGGTGGTGATGGTGGTAACTACGTGTCCACACACACACACGCGTACACACTCTTTGTCCCGCCCGCCCGCTCGTCTCACCGCATTCGTGATTCCAAAAGGGTCGCATCTTCGCCGGTAAAGCAAGTTCGATCCTGTTCAATGACCGATGCAATGCGGCTCTGAAAACGGCTGCCATCCTTCCTTGTTGCTGCTTCTGCTGGTGCTGCTGGGTTGATGGTAGTGGTGATGGTGGCGGTGGTGTGGCAAGGGAAGTTATGTCACCCTCCCTCGTCTTTATATAGATTCTACGACAGTATATGTGTCTCTCCACTCTAGGCACACACACGCACACACAGACACACATATACCAGGGGCCCCGGCACTCGACGGACAATTGCTGTGTGTGTTGACTGATGAATAGCTTAATAATTAAATAAGCGAATGACCCACCCACCGACACGTACAATGGCACACACACACAGCACGGACACCTACACACAAACCCACCCCCTCTCCCGACCTCAAGGACAAATCACCCCCGCCTCCAATAACACCCGATCTGCTCAATACGGAGCAGATCTACGGAATGCCTCCTAGGATGATGATGATGACGACGGCGGCGGTGTGGTTGGGCAAGCGGTGATGCTGATGCTGCACGCAAAACGCGGGAGCGGATTTTGGCGGAACGGAGTGGGATCCGTTGAACCACGCACGCTCGCTCGCTATACCGGCAGGGGAGCCCGCGGTGCGACTCCATTCCGAACGGAGGGAGACGCCACGCCGGGATTTTGTGATGATTTGTTCTGGGAAGGAACGCGTTTTGAATGTGTTGCGATTTTTTTTGCACTTCCGTGTAAAAAGTGTAAGGGGAGGGGATGATGGCTTGGCTCATAATGCCCCCCCACCACCCACCCCTCCCGCCTTCACAGGGCAAGGCAGTGGTCAAGCGAGGGATGGCACCATTGAACCATACGTTTCGCAATTCGTGCAATGTGTTTGCTATAATTTGTGCGCGTTCTTTAAATTGGTTTGAACCGGTGTCGGGAGGGGAGGGGGGAGCGGTGGCGCAGCTGTTGGGGCGCCACAGAGCACGCGGGGGGTGGGGGGGGGCCCAAGCAAGTCGCGTCAAGCAAGGCGGCCAGCAAACAAACAGCACGAGCAAAGAACGACGCGCTAGATCGTTAGACTTGGAATATAAAAGGGATTGTTTGAAGTGACGGAAGAGTGCGCGCTCCTGGCGCCCGTGGTTGAACGCGGTGGTGGATGGGAGACCCGAGACGCGTCGTGAAACCCGGGTGACATGAATTCGACTTACGATCACGGCCACCGTCAGCGGCCAGTGATATGCGAACCATAATCCTTGGGCCCTTTTGATCTCCTTCGCTCGAATCCGCACTAGACCCAGCGTGGCGACGTTTGGCGGAACGGAGTGGGGGTCCGTGACCATCACCGAGAGGCTTTCATCCAGCAGTGGATTTGACAAAGGGGCTGGCAATTGGTGGCGGTATAATTGTTTTAGCCGATCAGCAAGATCGCCCGATATCATCAGATCTCGGAAGCTAAACTGGGGGGGGGGTTGAGCCTGGACCAGGGGTGGGCAAATGTTTTGACACGCGGGCCACAATTGGTTCTACAATTTGACAGAGCGGCCGGGCCAGGAACAGATGGATGGAGTGTTTGTGTGAACTAATATAAATGACATGTAAAAATAATTACATGAAAGGATTTGGCCTTTAACAGGTAGCAAAGCATTTATTTGCAAGGCAATTTAACAAATTGCACGAACATGAACAATACAAAAACATGTCGTAACTCCCGGTCAAAGTGCGCTAACTAATGGGGAAATGGGGGCATTACAGGAGAAGGGGAAAATTTAATTCAATAATAATATTTGGACAAGTTCGGCGGGCCGGATTAAAAAGCCCAACGGGCCGTATACGGCCCGGGGGCCGTACTTTGCCCATGTCTGGCCTGGACAGTCCTTGGACGGGTGGCCACCACCACGCACGTCTGGATGGTGTAGGCTGCTGTCGAACCACGTGGTGGACAGCAGTGTAGACATCCATCGCTGTAGTTAGTTCGTGTACGTTCCATGTTCCCACCTGCGCTGACCAACGTGGTGAAGTATGGTCAAATAAACTTCATGTGGGGAGGCACCTCATCCAGCAGTGGATAAAGAAAATTACTTAAAAAATAGGACTTGGCTAACTGTAATCCATATCACAGAACGAGCAAAGGTTACAGTTAGCGGTGGCGATGTTGCACGTGGCCTGTAAGCCAGCACTGGAGGCAGCGAGGGTTTGTGGATCACCGCACCAATGGGATACTTCTCCCTTCCTGAGGGCGTCGAGTTCACCACATCCTGGCTCGCCATGCAATTGCAGTACAATAAGTTGATTCATTTTCCATCTGTTTCTATCTTTACGGAGATTGAGTTTGCCCCCCCCCCCCCCCCCTGGAATCGTAGGTTTTCTTCCAGATACTCCGGTTTCCTCTAATATGTATAAACCCTTGTGAATGGAGTTGGTCAAAACATCCCGATATAGAGACACAGAACTCGGGCAATTGTTGGCAGCGCCGGTTCAGGCTGCCTTCACATTTGTGGAGGTATGAACTCAGGACATTTTCACCGTACATTATAAACAGTAACAACCCGGCATGCATTTAGCGCGTCATATATTTTGCAATGCTATTAATTGTTATCACAAAGCAATTTGCATCACGCCATGAGTTGAAGGATCCATTCGGATATCTCGCGGAGCAGTGCAACCCTTCGTGTTAGACAATGGCCAACGGAAGCGGATATCACAGAGCCACCTTTGAGAAACCCTTCTGGCAAGTGACGTCTGGTCCACACCAGGGACGTGCGGTCAGGGGAGGCAGGGGAGGCAGAGCCTCGCCTGTCATACTCCAATGAAAACAGCTGTTACGAAAAGTAAACAAAAAGAATAATCAAATAAAATAAATATGAAATTTTTTTCCACTTATATGATTTATAAATGTAATTTCTGTACGATTCCAATCATTTTTATAGTCAAAATCGCCAAATTTGCGGAGCTCCGCTACAAATACAGGAAGAGACGAGAGGTGAGGCAGCGACGAGCTCAGCCTCCCCTCTGATTGCGCAACCCATCAGTAACTGGATGGAGCGCGGCCAATAAGCGCGTGCCTGTTACTATCTCAGTATGTCACCAATGTAATGTTTGTAGACCCCTTCACTTCATGTCCTCGCCTTCGATACTCCAGGTAACTTATTTTTCACGTATGTGTATAAAGATATTTAGGATCGCTGGTCTCGTCATGAAACTGCAATGAAAAAGCACCAGGAGAGGCAGCTATCACATCTGCCTCACTGAAGGGGACGTGTCTAACACGCCCCCTTCAGTGAGACCACGCCCCCTTCAGTGAGGCCACGCCCCCCTCAGTGTGTGAATCTGGCTCTGACACTAGCCAGTGCCTCCCCAGCCATTGACCTCACCGCACGTCACTGGTCCACACGGTAACGGGACGGTGCCTTCCCGCGGAGTTGCGCCACGCTGTAATATTTTCGCGACACGTGACCTCCGATTGGCACGGTTGGCTACGTCCGGTGCGAAAGAAGTTCAACATACATAATATGGTTGTGGTTTAATAATAATAGGGGTTTTCCCCTTTTTTCTGGCAACAAAACTGAAACCTTTTTACAAGGATTCATGTCTGCATTAACCACAATACCTGCAGTCAAAATGCATTGTCTTTGAGCTGTACGCCTTTTGGCGTCCTCTGGTCGAGCACCAATTGGGTCGAGGCTCAAAAGAAAGCCGTCCCTTGGTGTGGACCAATCAGTTTCAAGGACAATGTATATATTATCATAGTATGTTTTTTGCTTGCATTTTGACTGCAGGTATTGTGGTTAATGCAGACATGAATCCTTGTAAAAAGATTTCAATTTTGTTGCCAGAAAAAAGGGGGAAAACCCTATTATTACATTTTGGTACTGGCAAAGGAGGTCTAATGATGTAGATGCTCACCCCGAGCCCTCATTACTTTGATAGTGCATTGTCTTTGAACTGTACGCCTTTTGGCGTCCTCTGGTCGAGCACCAATTGGATCGAGGCTCAAAATAAAGCCGTCCCTTGGTGTGGACCAATCAGTTTCAAGGACAATGCATATATTATCATAGTATGTTTTTTGTTTGCATTTTGACTGCAGGTATTGTGGTTAATGCAGACATGAATCCTTGTTAAAAGGTTTCAGTTTTGTTGCCAGAAAAAAGGGGAAAACCCCTATTATTACATTTTGGTACTGGCAAAGGAGGTCTAATGATGATGATGGTTGCGGTTCTTTGCAAAGCTCATGTTAACCTGAAGTTTGTCGGTATATTCTGACCACACCTTTCGTGCGAGGTTACAGTGAAATCGACAGGAGACCGAGGGCCCTGCACTAGTGGCATCGGTTTGCCAGGCCTTGCTGATGATGTCATAGTAAGTCAGAACCCGTAGTGCAAATTTGCGCTGTTCAAATGAACACTATAGTGATGAACCCCCACTGTGGAATGTGTGTGGATTAAATGCTCATCTGATTTAACTAAGTCTCGCTTAGGTTTCATTCAGTGATCTGCTGAAGCGGCAAAAGCAATCCAACAACATGGCCATCTTGAGCTCCTGGCTTTGAGCGGCGGAGTTGGTGAGTGTTATCCGCTCGTGTTATTACGGTAAGTGTTAAACATCACGAATTCTATAATTGCGCAGTGACACATGGAAATGTCGCTTGTTATGATGGAAAAAACAGCACAATTCGAGTACAATTTGCGGCAATACAATTGGGGAGAAAACTGCCGAAATCAAACTGAGTTCATCCTGCGTCCTCAAAACTCGGGTCACGCTAATTGCTGTACCAACTTTGTCGCATGTGCCCACGTTATCGTATAACAGCGGTCCCTATAAATACAGCATGTTTCCACAGTCCTCAACACACCCTTGCCGCAGGGGGAAACGAATCCTCGTCTAATTTTAGTTTCGAACATATGACGGCCTAATGCGCGCGTTCATTCCGATTGACGTGACCTGATCTTGGCCATTATCGGGATTGCTAGCTATCATCATCATCGGCAGCAGGGGTGATCATTCCACTGCTGGATGAAAGCTTCCCCTAATCATGGCCATAGCTCAGGGTTCTGCGATGTTACACGCTGGCTATTACGTCAATGGACAAAGCTTTTTTCAACCCACTACTGGCTGGATGAGGGCTGCTACACAGAATCCGAATCTTTCTTCTGGAGGAATCCGTTTAGCTGTAAAGCTCTTTTTCACGCACCCGCCATAGGAGTCGTGGGGGATATGCGCTCACGTTTCTGTAAGCTCAACATATGAGTCAAAAACACTGTGGCCTTTAGAGCAAAGCATGTAGTCGGTGACGTGTCTCGCCCTTCTGCAAAGCACGTGCTCGTAAGTGCGGTCAGATGTTGGAGCGTAGCACAGGACAACTGCTTTTTCAGCATTGCCCTCTGCTACCCACCAGCTGGCCTTGCAAGCCTATAACGCCTCAGTTATGAATAGCACCACGGCCTCATCCACGAGATTAGCTTCTCCTGACGCGGTCGCCTGGCTTGACCACCTGAATGTCAAATTGTAGTTGTTGCTCTGAACCTACATCAGTAGCCGTACTCAAGAAGAAGATGATGTACCACATCTGTAATCAAGCAACTTGGCGTCAGGGTTGGTGGATTACAAAGAGATGAGGCTGAGATGTGTGTGTGTGTGATACCCAAATACAGGGCCCTGGCGAAGTTGTGACTTGAGAAGACAGTATAGCAAGTAGATTCATGACTTGCTATATCAGTAGGGTTTTCTCTAGCCGGTTACCTAATATGGAAATATTTATATATTTCGAACAGTGGGTGAGAGTCCCAAAGTAAACAACCCCATGAACAAAAAAAGACCCATTTACGAAGGTTCCACTAGTAGAGTGGGTTTGGTGAGAGTGGATTGATCCAGGCCTGCACGTTTTCTAACTGAATACTGTACTGTATCGGCACATTGACCAAATCACCCACAATTTTCCCGATCACAATTTTCCCGATCCCATCGTATCTCGGAAGCTCAGCGTGACTGAGCCTGCAAAGTGAATGAAAGGTTCAGCAACACGCACAAACGGATAAAAAGGGCTGTGGGCAGCAAAACATCCACTATTGTACCGTCCTGCCTTTGCAAACCGCACTGCCCACGGTAGTCGAGTGCTGTCCCAGTAAACATGTCAAAGTCTCGGAGCGCCATCGTCGGCACGTGGTTGGAACCGTTGGTCCAACGTTGTCTGAACGTTGGCGTGTGGTTGGAACCGTCGGCACAATGTTGGTTCAACGTTCAACGTGTACTGCGGTGTGGTCAAATAAACGCCACTACCCAGCGTGGAGGGGCCAAGGGTGGGGAGCGGGGAGCCTCTCACCCAAACATTGCACGGTGCTGTATTGACACACGCGGTATAAACTATGATTACAAGCGCACCTGGCCTTGCCGTGTGTGTTGGTTCAGTTTCTTATTAAAATCACACGACCCACGTGTGCACGTCACATCGTCACCCTCCTCTACACTACCACCCCCACGACGTGTGTGGCACGCGCCCACCCCACCCACCCAACACTCCATCCCCTCCCCGTGTCCTCGTTTTGACCGTCGTGCAGACGAGCCCATGCCATTTCGGCCCTTGCGTCATTGCCGCATGCAGCAAACGCACACGCTGGGGTGGTCGCGAACAGTGGCGGAACGAGTGAAATCTTTCGGGCGATTCGATGGATTGTCTCTGGTCAAATTTAGCCGTCGATTATTTTGTAACAAAAAAAAGGCGGTGAGCGAAGGGAACTTTCGTGAGTGCAGCGGCCTCTAGTGTTGGATGTTCAACACGACGCTGATGATTTTTTTTGTCCCCAGTTGTGCGTTAACGACTGCGTTAGGCATATACGTTCTGCGTCGAACTCAGAGACCCCCCATCCCATATCGTTAAGAAGAGAGCCCTTGCCTTTAAACATCTGACAGTTCGGCAGCCGTGATTCAAGGGAGTCTGATTCTGTTGATGAGACGCTCTGGAGTTTTGCTTTTCTTGAATCAATCATAAAAAAAGTTTTTTGGATGGAGGTTAAATGGCGTAAATGTGTGTCGTTAACGTCACCTTTATTACGGATAATAGTGTCCGCGAAAGCCCACGTGTTTAACTGTCTTGAATCAATGCTGCTGACATTACGCACTCCCAGAAGGCCGTGCGGCTGATGGGTTGTGTCAGAAATACTATTTATTAAATGTGAAAAGACGGGTGCGTGAAGGAAACATTGTTTCTCCGATTAGCACGGTCGGCTACGTACGTTGTGAAAGAAGTTCAGCATGCATACGTATGGTTATCTGGTGTTGTTCGGGTCAGATGCATTACATGCCTGTTAACCCATCACGGTTTACTCGTATTCCTGTACAGGGAAAATGAGTTTGCAGGTCCATACGGCGTTCAGCCGTTTCAATACGGGTAAAAAAAATGGTCTATTTATTTGTGTTTCTCCCTTGTGATAGGACTTTGTAGGATGAACGTTGAGATTTATAAGGGCACGGGTTGACCATTAAAGTGTGAATTGGTCTGCAATGAGGTAGGCACTGATAAGGGGTTGACAGGTATGGAATTATAACACGCAACCTCACATCATCGTTATCATCATCAGCCGTTATCAATCCACTGCTGGATGAAGGCCTCCCCAAGCTCGCGATTCTGCGATGTAATAATCCGCCGAGCACCTGCACATGAGATAATTTCATGGCTCCATCTCAACGGCGTTCGTCGTCTCAGCCACGTTCCACCCCCCTGCTGCCACTCCGCTATTATTCGGGACCACCATCCCTTCACGTGCCCTGCCCCAACCCCTGCTGACTTTACTTAATCGTTTAAATGATATACGATATTCAACATGCGTATGTTCTCTAAGCCACGTGTTGTATTTCTGTTGACGCCTCTCAATGCTATTCCAATAATGCATCTATCCACGCTTCTTTCCGTATTGTTTCGTTTTTTTTGTTAGTTTTCTTCATAAACACGGGGTAATTATATGACCATACTTCACCATGCTGGTCAGTGCGGATTGATGAGGGTGGTAGGTGGGATTTGAAGCCGAGCGTTCCCAACGCTAGGTATCGCGTCGCAATTGCTCATCATCACGCATCGCGTTCCCAACGTTCAACACAAGGCGGCAGCACTTCAGAGGGTTAACCGGGTTCAAATCCAGCCTCCCGACCAATAATTTATCATTTTTCCACTTCATAAACAAGCGCATTACATATTCACTTACAGTCGCTGATTGCGGTGTTTATCGTAAAAAAATTATGGTTCGCAGTTTGATCACCAGTGACTTGCACCTAAAAATAAATTAACGGTAAATAAATATACAATTGCGACTGCTATTGTTGTGCCCGTGTGGTTTTACATGAAGTCCAGGTAAACAGTAAGGCTGGGCAGCAGTGCTCCCAATCATGAGTTCAGATCCAAGCCAAGGTTACAACAATTTTGGCCTGTTCAAGTTATTAGTTGGGATGTGTTCGTGCCTCGAACAAAACAGAAGTTTTTGGTCACAGGAATGTGGAATTTCCACCCACTGACTCAAGACGAATGCGTGTTTATTGTAAATATTTTAATACCGTTCACAGGAAGGATGTTGACATTGCTTGCATGGTTTAATGTCCTCACGATAATGCATTCACGAACGCGTGCCAAATCACGTTGAGTTTTAACGTGACGCGGTGCTGTGCGGGCTGTACGTTTCTGCGTTTGTAATAAATATCGAAACACATCTTTGAATGATCATCGGTGTAGACGTTTTCTTTTCTTGGCCTTGTGTTTGTTTTTTGTGTGTGTGTGGGGGGGGGGGGGTTTCTTCTCTTTTTCAACCATTCCAAAGTTGATTATATCGCTGGAAAACAAATGAAAACATTGGGTTGTACAGATGTAGCACGTGTATATGTCGAGTGTTTTTTGAAAATACAACAAAAATATTTTGCTTGGAAATTCCCTGGAGATAGAACATCTCGTATTGTACGTCCAGGATGTCTGGTCACACGTAGCAAACGCATAACTACACATAAGTTACACATCTTCTTTGGTTCTTTCGGTAAAGTCACGTACAATGATAATAAAATATTATTGTGTTATTTTATTTTATCAATTTATTATTTTATTATCATTCTACGTGACTTTACCGAAAGAACCAAAGAAGATGAATCATTGCAGTCACGAAAGCTTTAAATCGAAATATAAGTTACACAGTTTACAACTTACACAGTATTTATGCAATGTAAAATACTTTTGTATGTAGTGTCAAGAACAAATCGGGTGGTGATGGCTCTTCACGTGTTCTGTGATCCAGCACGTTTCCAGTTCAAGTGTCTTTGCGTAACCATGCGAGAACTCAGAAAGTCAGTGATCCGTGTCACCAAAATGACAAAAAGCTAAATAAAATAAAGTACACCATTGAAGCAAATAGGAATCGGTGCAAAAACAACTGTGTCGTGTGAGAAATAAAAAAAATCCCTGTAATGTGAGTTGGCGCGGGCAATATATTTATTTTTTAGATTGATCAGAGCACAATATGGATATTCTTGGTTCTTTCGAAAGAACCAAGAATATGAATCCCTGCAGTCACGAAAGCTTTAAATCAAAAATTAAATGGATATCTACGGGACCCTTTTTGTCCTGATACGGTAACTTGTACTGATACGTATGTCAAATGCATTTACCTGAGCCCTCCATTGACCTGACCTCCCCAAGGTCGACTCAGCCATAAATGAGCACATGGTGTAACGTTGCTAACATCAGTACACTCGAGGGAAAAAAGCGGTTGGGTGCATGAGGCACTAACCCACCGCCCACTCACGTGACACACCATTCTCAATAAAGGATTGTTAAAATCACTTGCCTCTGCTGTTGGCATAGGGGTAAATGGAGATATATGTGTTTATGTACAACATCTGTCTCCTGTCCCGTGAGCTCGTGTCAGTGGTACACGTGGCCATAGCACGTGACGTGTGGTAGTTACCAAAGTTGGTCACTGGATGTACTGAAGAGTATATAGTGGCCCTACTGAAAACTGAACATTCATTGTCAAACCGACATAAGTGTCGACACTATGTCGCGACCAGTCCAGAGTTTGCTTGTCTTGAATCAATGCTGCTAGAATTATGCACTCCCAGAAGGCCGTGCGGCTGATTGGTTGTCAAAAAAACTTTTAACTTTTTCATGCGGAGGGACAGATACATGCACGAAACATAAGAACTGCTGATTTATTCTACTTCGTAAATATCGGGTAGCCTCAACCTATTGCTGAAGGCCTCTTCCAAGCCATGTAGGCCATGGAGATTGTTGGACCATACTTCACCAGACTAGTCAGAATCAAAATATTTATTTATACTACATGAAGAAATCTGATTAGCTATAAAGCTCTTTTTCACAGGTGTCCAGTAGGGGCAGGTCAGAACGACACAACAACAAACACGTGACAGGAGTGCAAAGTACAGGAAAAGTAAACAAATTACCTAAAAAAACTAAAACAAATAAATCGAAACTATTGTTTTTGTGCTGGTTGGTCAAAGGAGTGATATCAAGAGGACAGGACCGGTTCGGATATCACTCGGCACTGATGATAGCTGTTGCCGGGAATTCAACGGAGGTTATCGGGTTCCCAGCCCAGCGCGCTAACCGCTGCACCGCCTCTGCACCCCAGCTCACCTCCTTCCTATCCGTTTCATCGTGTCAGCAAGTTGCTCCCAGCGGACATCACATTTTGGCATGGCGCTTTCAGCAGGGGCGCTGACAAACACATTGTTTACATTCGTCTCCTTTGCACCCACACTTTCCACCTCTTAGCATGCCGCCTGCATCTGATGCTGGCGGTTATGTCACCGCGACAGTATTTTGATGACAAATTATTTGTGTGACGCTGTGCGTTTGCAGCGGGGCAAGAGCAAAAATAACAAACTACTCGATGCATTTGTCAATAACGGGCCTTGAAAAGACATGTAGAAAATGTGACGTTTCGAGCAATGGCCCTTCTTCATAGCACTTTTTGTGTTTAGTTTGTTGTCCTTCCCCCCCCCGCCGCATCTCCGATGAGCACGGTTGGCTATGTACTGTGCAAAATAAGTTCAACATACATACAATTAAATAGATATTTCAGAGAGATAAAGTGGATGAGTTGGAGACTGCACGAGATACCATGGGACTTTTTAATGTTTTATCATGACCATTTGTTTTATTGGCACGTGAATAGTTACCTAATAGTAGCTACTAGGTAACAGACAAATCCTTCCATTATCAAAAGGTATCACTAAATAAATTAATTTACTGTATATACAAAATGTTGTTATAAAATGTTACTGCCACATGATATTGAATTTTTATTAAAGTCAGCTCTCAATTATCTATGGTTATGGCAGGGGAAGGTAAAGCCCGGATAAAGCTAACATCCTGGCAGTGCTAAATGCATTTGTTCGGTTATAGAAATATATACGTATCGTTTGTCTATATAGAAGATGCAGAAAGTCATTTAACATACGTATGTGGCAATGTGCGTGTGAACGTGACACTTGGGTCTGACGTGCGTAGGGCTCACAACTCTTTACCTGCGGTGCAGGGGCGCACACGCTCAGGTGTGCCGCTTACCCAGGCCGTTGGCCCTGGGCCTCAGTGGCGGAACAGGCTGTAGTAGGTGAGTAAGCCGCAGCCGACCACCCAGCCCAAGAGTAGCAGCGCCGGAACGGCATATCGCTGGTATTTCTTCAGACCTACCGACACACACACACACACGTGGGCGTGACCGTGCCGTGGCCGAGCAGTGAAGAGCTCGATTCGCCGCTCGTTTGCGGAGAGGTTCGCGGTTTAGAATCCAGCAGCCGCCCCGATTAATACTGCCGGTTGTAGTGCTACTGCTACTAACCACCGTATGCGAAAGTCCGCTGTGCTTCACGGTGGACGTTAAAGATTCCCGTGACGTCATTCACAAGAGTAGGCCATTGTGTGATGGCATCAGGATTACCCGCACCTCCAATTAGCACGGTTAGCTACGTATGGTGCGAAAGAAGCTCCACATACATAAACACATCTTACATTCTCATTTGGGATTAAACATAGCAATCACCCCACCCCCACCCCCTCGAGGATTTTCCACGTGTTAGAATGATACATAAGGAGTGTGCGGCTTTATTATTGTTTTGTCTCGACAGTGGAGGATGTCACGGAACTGCTTCTGAAGTCACTTCAATGGTCCTCTTTAACCACGCTGGGAGCCCGCTTTTTATCTCCCTGACATAGATTATTCATCATGTGTCAGTCAAACAGAGAACCCCGTTCATTCATGTGTGGCTGAATCAAGAATTCTTATTCAGCAGCGCCAACTCGGTGCAATCCACTTGGCCACCCCCCCAATCATATTTTTCAAAGCATTTGAGCTAACGTTGTCGAATCTGATAAAATACCATATATTTTTTTTTATTTTAGTTTTCAGTTCTTACGGCGCGCATCAGTTGTTTATGCTAGGTTTTCTGCGACATGGCGATACTGTGAGATATTGTACGATATGATTCCTAATAATTGCACGGCCCGTTTTGCTAAATAATATTAATGAAATCTGTAAACGATGAGAACAGCCCGTCAGAACAGTATAATATTGTAATATCGTGATTATCATAACTCATATCGTCGCGTCCCTTAAAACATTCGATTGTAGCATGATAAGTTATCCCGCTGCAATCCTGGAGTGTACACTTCTGTACCAGTGCTTGTAACACTGCAACGCGCGAGTTCGGATAGCGGTCAAATACAACCGTTCGTGATCGCCATAAATAGGTGGCAAGGTTATGCAGCATTGAGTGTTCCGAACGCTCTCACGTCCTTAAGTGTGAAATCTTTTTTCAGAAGCGCATTTAATTCAACCGTCAGCTGTCAGGCGGCGGTGTTTTTAAACTGTGCCAACCTCAATGGAGCGACTTGTCAAGTTGATGTAATAAGACGTGCGCTGCGATGGCAAAACCGCGTCCTAGAAAATTTGCCTCGACATTAATGAACTATGGTGCCTACGAATACTGTATACATGTTATACTTTAAACTGGTCTTGAGTATTCGGAATCGGAATCTTTATTTATTTGTACAGGAGGAATCTGATGAGCTTTAAAGCTCTTTTTCACACATGTCCAGTAGGGGCAGGACAGAAAACAGAGTATTGATTCATTGACACCGAACATTATTACGAACCAGGTTAGAATCAGGTTTAGGGTGGAGCAGTAAGTGGCTAGCGCACTGCGCTATGAACCCACCAACTTACGTTGAATTCCTGATCACGGCTAACAATGTTTGTACGTATGTTGAACTTCTTTCACACCGTACGTAGCCAACCGGGACAATCCGAGGCTATCAGGGACCCTGCTATGGCTTGGCAACAATTTAAATACATGCAAGTATTTATGTCCCTACCGAGATTAAAAAAACAATCATTGGCGATTTCTGAACCGATCTTGCCCCTCCACGCCGCCCTCCTTTCACCATCCCACATTGAGCAGCGTGGTCAGTCATCGTCAATGAACCCCTATGTCCGACACAGCATGACAAGTGAATTGAAAGAGGGCTGCAAATTATAATTATTTTAAAAACCCACTGAGACCACGTTCTGAAAAAGGGCCATTGTCCAAAACGTTAGTTTATGATCTATTCATGTACAAATTAGCTGTTGTGAAGAACAGTGGTAATCTATTTACACCCCTTACAAGCCAGAAAGTCCAATGTTTGCCTCATGGGGTCGGCTGCTCTGATTTATTTTCTCTTTCAGCTTCTATACTGTGCCTCTTCTATACTCACATCCACTGCTCTCTCATCTCATTCCACCACATCCTTCCATCTCACCCTCAGTCTCCATCTACTCCTCATGCCATGCACCAGTGAGTTATATGGTTCTATGTCTGAGTCTATGGGTCTCTGTGTGAATCTACGGTTCTCTGTGTCGTCTATGGGTTTCTAATCTCCATAGCCCTGCTACTTGCATCCTCTGTGTCTCTTCTCAACTGTGTCCACAATATCTGAGTCCCGTATCTCCCTGACCCCAGGAATATTAGCGACCTCCACTAAGGCCCTGCTTTCTTCATTCTACCATCTTCTTTCCCCTAGATATTTTCCCAGTTCCCAACATCCATCTCAGCATTCTCATCGCTGTCTTTTGAAGTCTCTTCATTTCTTCGTGCCCACGTCTCTACACCATATGACACCACCGATCGTATCACTGTCTATGCGTATTTTCTTTCGGTTTTACTCACATCTTGCAATCAGTAACGATTTCTCAAACCTCTGTCCATTCATGCCATCGTGCCTCGCCTCTTTCTCTTTAATTATTGTTACATAATATTTTTTTAAATATATATTCTTACATTCCACAATGGTTCATTAAATAATAAGTACATATTCCACTGTATCCTAAGCAACTTAATGTAACTCTAGGTCACCCTTGCAATTGATGTTAATGTATCACGTATCTTAACTGGGACTGCATTTCATCATTTGGGTTGATACTAAATAGAGGACATTACATTACTCCGCAGCTTCCCTTACCTTCCTGGGAATATTATTTAAACGCACACGAACAGAACGTTAGTTTAGAATTCGCCAACTTCTTACCGGTCGCTTCCATCGTGTGCGTCTTCTCTCTCTTTCTCTGGCGAATGACGCGGCTGTGTGGCGTGTGTGCACACAGAGGACAATGGGCACATTAAGTATGGACGCGTGTGTCCTGTATTGCTCCATGCAAGTATAAATAACCGGCGGCTATCAGGGACCCTTCCGATGGCTCGGCAACAATGCGAACACCTGCAAGTATTTCTATCCCTACTGAGATGATAAAAAAAGCAGCCAGCAAAAAGCCTTTTGGCCACCTGCCCCATGCGGAGTGTGCACTGAACATTTCATCGCCGGCTAAAAGGGGGGGGGGGGGGGGTGTTGACCTTGGTAAGTCATCTGAGATGGTTGATACTTGCTCCAGTCTGTTTATATCCTTTGCTCCTTCAATCCAATGTCCGGACATCTCCTAATGCCCCCTTTGACTGTCTCTCTCTGTGAGCCACGTGCTTTATCAAAAACGTCGTCAATCAGGGCCTTCTTCCATTTAGCCCAGGCTGTGATATTTACTGAAAAATGTTGCGTCAGATGCTCCTCACAGTTGTATACAATTGTTCAAATTGTTCATGTTACTTAATTCGCTGTCTTCCCTGGCTTCTTCTACCTCTAATTGTCCCAGTCAATTCACATGTATTAAATTCACATGTATATTCAGTCGCTTGTTTTCTAATTGCATGTCCAACAAATTTAAAGTTTCCTTTTTCAATTTAATTGTATTAATATTGTTGTTGGGTATCCTGCAGCTTCCATAATACATTCATGCCATTTATTTGACCGTGAAATGCTTAACATCATGTTTTAACAAAAACAAATTTGCTTCTAGTTTGCTTTGTAGTGTCTTTGTAATTATCATTGTGAGTAACGTTGGCTAAAGTTACCTTATTCTTGGTTCTTTCGGTAAAGTCACATAGAAGGGAAACAATAAAATAATAAAAAATATAAAACAATAGAATTCTCACTACGTTTCAAAACGTCGTGAGAATTATATTGTTTCAAAACGTCGTGAGAATTTTATTGTTATATATTTTTATTATTTTATTGTTTCCCTTCTACGTGACTTTACCGAAAGAACCAAGAATATGAATCCATGCAGTCACGAAAGCTTTAAATAAAAAAATAAAGTTACCTTGTTTGGCTCCCCTTATAATACCTGTGTTCATATTCTTGGTTCTTTCGGTAAAGTCACTTAGAAGGGAAGCAATAAAATAATAAAAATATAAAACAATAAAATAAAAATTTAATACCTGTGTTGTTATAATAGTCGAGCTGTTCGATTTTGATAAATGGCTTGTAAATATATATTTTTGGCATTGGTTTCAGAGCTTTAATGACTTACATCAATTTCCACCGAGTCGAATAAATTTCCATTCATAGTCTATAGAGATAAGGCAATGGTATTTTCCAGAATGATTGCGTAAATATAATTAAAATACAATTCATAACGTGTACAATTTATCACGGACTTATTTGACACCGGCTCTGACGCAGGCCCTATAAGAAAGAGGTGTCCCTTTAAGAAATTGACCTTTAAGAGGTGAGACTTTTATAAATTGGGCTTTAAGAAAGAGGTGGGCCTTTAAATGCATATTAAAGGTCAACGCAGTTCAGTGTTCTTCACTGATTTTAGGAGGTGGGCCACTTTCACCGATAAGACATCATCAGTGTGAGGGCCGCCACACATTTGAAACCATTGTGGGTTTGACAGCAGCACGATGGTGATGCTGATAATGGGGTTGTTTTTTCACCATTTGTGTATGGTCGGGGGCCGCACGTCAGGGGCCGAACTAAAGGCCACCAGGGGCTGCCAGTGGCCCGCGGGCCCTGCAGTGAAGAACGCTGCCGTAGATTTTATGCTTGTGGATTTTCGGAGGGATGGTTGCTGCCACGGAGAAGCGACGCCTGGCAGTGATAGATGATAATAAAGTATCAACAAGGTCGAAGGTAGAGAAACATTTTATAAACCTGGTTTGCTCGTGCAATTGGTTTGCCCTCTATATGTCCCCTTACTGTTCTCATATACAGTCTATCCTGATAAATCTATTTATATGCAATAACATACTAACTGGTCCGTACTTTTTCAACAAATTATCATAATATTTATTTATACTGGAGGAATCCTATTAGCTATAGAGATATTTTATATATAGATGTCCAGTAGGGGCAGGGTCAGAAAGTTACAACAATAATACAAAACACGATAAGAGTGCAGAGTATAAGTAAGGTAAACAAATCATTTTTTTAAGTACATGTAAAGCTGAACAAAATGTCGTGAGAATTTTATTGTTTTATATTTGTATTATTTTATTGTTTCCCTTCTACGTGACTTTATCGAAAGAACCAAGAATATGAATTCCTGCAGTCACGAAAGCTTTAAATAAAAATTGAACAAAATTTGTTTAATTTTACCATATAGAGCTACAGTATTAGCTTATTTTTCAGAACCGACCTGGCCACAAATGGAAGCTCAACGAAGTGGATTATCACGTGGAAATTTATAGCAGTACAATTATCTGTACATTATACAGGGTCTGGATTCATACAAAAAAAAACTAACTAATTCATATTTTTTAGTTTCTGCAGGGCCTGTAGAACATCCAGTGAGAAGCCCCGATCTCACACCACTGTTCTCTGGGGTCACTTGAAGGCGCTGGTCAACTCAGTGTTGAACATTTGCGGCAGCGCATTATTGACGCGTGTAACACCATTAGCCCTGATACCATTTACCTGTGCTTGCCTACTGGGTATCTCGTCTGGAGTTGTGTGATCAGCAACAAAGGTGGGCACATTGAGCACGCTCTGTGAATAAAAGCGTTATTATTGCCTTTTTAAAATGTATTTTTTACTGTGATTCCAGCCTCATGGGGGACACTGTGTAGAATAATACAGGGAGTTTCAAAAATATGGGACCCAATTTCAAAGCAGTATATTTCACGATGGCAACATGTTACAATTACACACAATGTTACAAAGGGTTTAATTGTACAGACGCAAATTCTTGGTTCTTTCGGTAAAGTCACGTAGAAGGGAAACAATAAAATAAAAAAGAACCAAGAATATGAATCCCTCCAGTCACGAAAGCTTTAAATAAAAAAAATGTATAGACGCAAGTTTAGGTTTTTTAATTATATATGTGGTATTCTTAGCTCTTTCCCTTCAACGTGACTTTACCGAAAGAGCTAAGAATATGAATGACTACAGTCACGAAAGCTTTAAATCAAAATTTATATATGCGGTGATACAACGTTCGCTGTGGTGGCAAATGCATAAGCCACACAAAAATCAACGAATTCGTAAGCAAGACTGCCTTAAAAGGAAAAATATATCGAAGAGACGACGTTTCGGAAAATGGCCCTTCTTCAGAGCGAAACGTGTGGTATTGAAGGGACACTTTACTGTGCGACGTCATAACGTAGCATCGTAAACGCGATGTTGACGTCATCACGTAGAAGGATGTTGGGTGGAGGGAATTCTTGCGTGATTACGTCATCGCGTATTAAAACCGCAGTTCGTAAAAAGCCACGTGATGCCTCGGTACGTCATCACGCGATTACATCGATGGCGTGACGTCATCACGCACCGAACGTCTACTCAGGGATTTTCCTTAACGCGTTGGGCCTCGCCGCACGCGTCATCACGTAAAGGATGTAGGGGCCGGGGGGGGGTGCTTGCGCGAAGACGTCACCGCGTATTTAACCCACGGTTCGCCAAAGCAACGCCATCGCGCCATAAAATCTGCCCCGTGACGTCATCGCGCACAAGACGTCACCACGCACGGGACATCTGCTCAGGGATTCTCCTTACACGTTGGGCCTCGCTGCTCAGGTTAGTGGAGCAAGAGAGGCGAAGGCGATAATTAGCAGATTATTATCGTTACGAATTAAACACCTTTAGATATAATAAAAAAAAACACGGCACTTCACACGCATCGTCGGTGTTTTTACATGTAATCATTCAGATGTGTTTAAATAATCGGTTGACGTTTTTGTTCAATACGATCAATTTTCCTGGGCGGGCCTAGCGCGAGGGCCCCAATATTTGTCACACCTTTCTCTTTTATAACGTTTAAAAATAAACAAAATGCAACCCGTGCGAATCGGCACGATAATTTGTAACGACCGCTTAATGTTCGCTTCTGTGCGTTGTTGCCGCTGCTGACGATGAATAACCTCAGCTTTGACGTGGTGATCGTGAGGTACTGAAAGCGCGGTTTCGGCGTTTTGCTAGTTCCAGGCCTAAGTGCATGGTGCACTTTACTCTTGTTGACCCAGTGCAGCAGCGGAATTCATTGTTCCACTGTACTTCTATGCCCCCCCCCCACCCCGCCTTCGCCCACGCTTGCCAGCGTGGTGAAACATGGTTAAATGAAGCCTCAGGTGTAGGGTGGCGCTCATCCAGCAGTGGATTGACAATGTGCACACTTATGCGCGTGTATTCCAATTGTGTGTAATCGACGCTGTCATAACCTACATGGGAATTGTGCTAGCAGGTTTGCGTCCGCTTGCATTGTGTGTACGTTTGACATGTTAATTTAGGAGTTTTATATTCGTTCCCCCCCCCCCCAAATTCGAGTTGTGCCTTTTGGTCGTTTTGTCATAGAACGAAATGACCATTCGAAACTTTTGCAGCGATATCGACGTCTGGATGTGTATGAATGAGATGTACAGAACAGCCGCGCGTGGGTTAGATCTGTTGTGAATAGTGCATGTATTTTCTGTAAGTACTGTACTGAAAAGAAAAAAACAATCGTATACGTAAGTACTGCAGTGGCAAGGTTGTGCGTATGTTGGTGCATGTGAGGATATCTGTGGCGAATGTAATGTCTGTGGGTTGTGGGTGTGCGTACATGTGGAGTATATATGGCAATGGGGGGGTGTACAGTATATTATGTGGAGTATATATGACAGCGGGGTGTGCGCATGTGGAGTATATATGGCAGTCGGGTGTGTACATGTGGAGTATATATTGCAGTGGGGTGTGTACATATGTGGAGTATATATGCAGTGGGGTGCGTTCAGGAAATTTAAAGGCGATTATTGCCCGCATTGCACGAACAATGATCGATTATGGCAACTTGGGTGACCGACGGCCTGGAGTGACAAGAGTTGTCGCTTGCCAGTCAAGCGCAAGCATTGATGAACTAGTGCGTATGCTGAAAAATAATTGGTCTACCGGTTAATTGATGAATTATGAATGG